TCTAGGTTAATTCTTTTTGATCTAACCTTTTCTCTAGTACCTGTTCCCCTTTTCCTATTGGCCTCAGTTGCTTTAAGGTATCTGCTTTAGTTTCTTTGCGTTAAGGGCAACAAATGCTAGCTAGTTTTTTAGGTGTCTTACCTATCCTCACCCCTCCCTTGTGTGCTCTCGCTTTTATCATGTGCTCAAAGTCCAATCCCCTTGTTGTGTTTGCCCTTGATCTAATGTCCACATATGAGGGAGAACATATGATTTTTGGTCTTTTGAGCCAGGCTAACCTCACTCAGAATGATGTTCTCCAATTCCATCCATTTACCAGCGAATGATAACATTTTGTTCTTCTTCATGGCTGCATAAAATTCCATTGTGTATAGATACCACATTTTCTTAATCCATTCGTCAGTGGTGGGGCATCTTGGCTGTTTCCATAACTTGGCTATAGGACTCACCAATTTAAACCCTTTAACATTAGTAAAGCTGAAATTAAAAGCAGATTTTCTTTTTCCTAAATAACTTTGCCCTGAATGATAGCAAGTGTCTTTGATGCCTTTAGATAAGAAATAATAGAAGCAAAGACACACATTCGCTAATTCCCCACCTCAGGGAGGGACTTTGAAAATAGAACATACTCATTTACTCTCATAGTTTCATATGGAAAAAAAAAACTGATTTAAATTATGCTTCCCTAAGTAGTTTTCTGTTTATGTGGAGGAGTCCTGTTTATGCACATATGTGACTGAATTTTCTCCTGTTGCAGTTTTTATGGCGACAAGAGACTCTCACAGTTGTGAGGGAGCTGCAGGTGGGATGAGGGTGCAGCGGCATTCTCCAGCGTCTGGGAGGCGAGAGATTCAACTCTGAGCTGAGTGCAACCTCTACAGCTGCTGCACAACGTCCCCTCATTGCTGTTGGTTCTGAGTGTTGGAACCAAACACTCAGAAAAAAGCCACTGTAACATTTGCCCACTCTTGGGTTAAGGGAATGAAGGTTTAGAGTGGACCCAAAAGAGCAGATAATCAGATTATGTTTGCTGGAGGCAGAGCTGGTTGTGAAAATAATTCCCATGTGATACTGCCCTGTTCTGGATCATGGAATCACCCAGCCTGGTGGAAGAACACTAGCTCTGTGGGGATTGTACTTTCCTTCTTCAAATGCTAGCACTAGGCAGATCTTAGGACCCATGGCTGAAGATACTTTGAATTTGTTAACTCACAGATAGAAGCTCCACCTTTTAAGAAAACCCAGGAGAAAAAAACAATCCAAATTGCATGAAAGTAGTCTAGTGGAAAGAGCAGGGGCCAGAGCCAGCACACCTGACTCTGAATCCTACCTCTGGCTGCTGGGGTGGAGAGACATCCAGACAGCTCATAGGCCGCAGGGCTCTCTCGTGCCTCGCGTGTGAATCGTAGTCATCCATGCCTTGAGAGATGCTGTGAGGAATAGTTGAGATTCCTGCAAGAGACATCCAAGCCATGACCAAATCCAGGGCCTCTTCTTCTTCAGAAGAAGGCTCTCAGTGGAGCATTTGTTACACACAGTCCTCTGAGCTGGGTATTTGGGAGAGGCCCGTATTTAGCCCTGGAGGGCTTATGTGTAAGTGAGGAAGACAGGACGTACAGTGCACAGGCTGGGGCTGCAGTGACTTTCTCACTCTTTCTGGAACGTCATAGGCCTAATGCCACCTTGATACTTTGATACTTGCTGTCCTTTTCTCTAGACCTCTTATCTCCTACCCTCTGCCATCTGCAGACCTCTATTCAAACACCATCCTCGTGAGGCATTTGCAGGACACTGTAACACTCCTGGTGCCGGTACTCCCCATCCCTCCCCTGGGTTTACTTTCTGTCACTCTCAGCAACTCTTACCTCTCAGTGCAAGCACCAGGATTTTTTTTTTTCACTCCTCCCACTGCCCTCAACAGTGGCTTATGGGCACCCAGTGAGTGGTAATGGGATAAACGAGTGGTGAAATCAGTTAACATCAGGCACACAAAGGGCCATGGGCAAAGCTGTGATGGCCAGAAGTGCAGAAGGTGCGTCAGGGACTGTGTTAGTCTCCTACTGCTTCTGTGACAAATGATTATAAACCTAGTGGCTTTGGACAACACACACCCATCACCTATGTGTGTATATGTCAGTTGCCCATGCATCTCCGAGTTAGAATTACATGGCATCATGGGGCCGCTGTCCCTCTGGTAGCTCCAGGAGGGGATCGCCCACCACTTTTCCAGCTTCCAGAGGCTATGTGGATTCCATGGCTCGTTCCTTCCTCGTCCTCAAAGCCAGCCACACTAGCTGAGCTTCTGTCACCATCACTCTGGCCCACTCTTTGACTTTTAGAGGCCTCCGTGGGTAGTCTGTGATGGCTCCCAGTTTAAGGCCAACTGATAAGCAGCCTCAATCTTGTCTGCATCTTATTTCTTCTTTGCCACATCACCGGATCTGGAGATCAGGACATGGACACCTCTGTGGTCCAGTGTTCTGCCTACCATCGGGTCTAGGAAGCGAGATGTTTTCCTTAGATCCTGAGATTTGAACTGCCAGTAACTAAATACAAGATGGGAACATTTAATCCTCACCCACTGTGACTCTGAGGCCAGGAATGAGTCAATGGAACTCAGATTCCAGGAGCTGAGCAAGAGTGCAGGGTGGGGGTTGAATTCTGAAGGAAGCTGCTGTCTGCCCCCTAGAGGGCCTGTGATCCTTCCTCTTTCTGCATGCAAGGAGAGAGCTGTGTGATAGAGGTGCCAAAAGATGGCAGATGCTCTCCTGGGATCTTCCTTACAACCACTTCCATATGTCACACGTGTGTGCAGCATATTCACACAGAGACTGTAAAGCCCCAATTCATAGACACTCCTACGACACCATGTCTACTTAATGCTCACTCACTGCCTCCCCTGTTTGGGGATCTCATTTCCCTGGTTCTCAGTGACCTCGCTTTCTTTCCGTCATCACACATCTGGGTGACTTCCCACCAGTAACAGACTTCCTGTGACAGAGACTGTACCCCCAGTTGGTGGTTAGGAATCTCCAGAGACGTGAATAGTTCGAGAAGGCCTGTCCTTCCTCACCTTTATCTTTGCCCCATGCTGGCTGTGATTCAGCTTCCTAGTTTGGCCCTCTTCCCTGACACCCACGCTGGTCCCCTGGGCACTGAACACCTGGACTGAGCTGAGCTGAGAGGTGTCTGGCAGCACTTCCTGTCCTCTGATTGCCTCTTTAAAGCAGGCTGTTCAACAGATGCCCTGAAGGGACAGCCTGCTCTCCTTGTGTGGAGCTCCTGGGATGTGGCTAGTGCAGCTGAGAAACTGGGCTTTTTGATGTATTTAATTTTAATTAGCTTAAGTGGGAACAGCCACAAGTGGCTGGTGGCTACCATGCTGGGCTAAAACTGGCCAAGCATGCTGAGGAAGTCCTAACGGTGTTTGTGGGAGGCAGAATAGTGCACTGGAACACAGCCTTTGGGCGTCAGACAGACCTGGCTTTAAACACTGGCTCCATGCTTATGATTTTGGGAAAGTCACGTGGTTTCTCTGAATCTAGTTTTCAGATTCAGAGTTTGCTCAGTGGTGTAGCAGGGAGTGGAGCAGAGCAGCAGGTACACTCTGACCTGGAGGGGAACAATATTTTACCTCTGATGGCTTAGAATTGTTGCCTGGTGGTAAAATGCAGACCTACTTTCTGTTGATTTTATTGGTTTTTTTTTCAATATTTTAAGACTGTGTACCTTGTCACGCTTGATCCGGGGTGGGCTGAGCCCCTCTCTGTCCATGCTGGTGCACTGTGGATGACCTTACGTAGTGAGGGGACTTGTAAAGAAAGGGGGGCAGTACAGTGAAGCACCCAGTGCTGTGCCACTGAGTGATTCATTCAGTAGTTCTGACTGAGCACCTACTGTGTGCTGGGCATGTGCTCAGGGGGATACAGCACCCTCTGAGTTGGAGCTGTAATAAATGGCAGCTCATACTTTTATTTTGAACTGCTTTAAGTGCTAGGGTTTGTTTTTAGCCTTTGCAGAAGGCAGCATTGGCTCACACAGGTGCACTTATGCTAGCCCCCTCCGTCCCGCCTTGTTCAGTCATGCCATATGCTTTGCTGCAGTGTTACTGAGGGCTTCCAGCGAATCATCGTTTTTCTCGGCCTCTTTCCGTGATGGTTTACAATGGCTCAACACAGTCACTCAAGCGTATTAATCTGTGCTCTGTGGTCCATTTACAGAGTTGCACAGTCAGCACAATTGATTTTGAGAGCATTTTGGTCATCCCCAAAAGGAATCCTTACCCATTAGTACTCATTCCCCAGTTTCCTCTAATTGCCTTAGCCTTGGGAGACCACTAAGTTATCCTATGTCCGTGGATTTGCCTGTTCTGGACACTTCATGTAAATGGAGTCATATATCACCTGGTCTTCTGTGACTGGCTTCTTAGAATAATAACTTTCATTATTTCAAGATGCATCAGTGTTGCAGTGGGTACTAGTACTTTGTTTATTTTGTTGTTGGATAATATTCCACTGTATGGATGTTTGACTTATTTTTCTATGCATTCATCAGTTGATAGATATTCGAGTTGTCTCCACTTTTTGGCTATTAATTACAAACTATGAATATTTGTGTACAAAGTTTTGTTGAACATGTTTTCATTTCTCTTGGTTATGTACCTATGAGAGGAATTGGTAATAGGATAACTCTGACTGGTAATATGGCAGCTCTGTGTTTAATTCTTGGAGGAACTGAAAAGCCTATAAAATTTTACCTTGCCTCCAGTTTCTCTACCTCCCCACCCATACTTCCTGTTCCGTCCTCGTGGTTACAGCTTTGCTAGTGGGTATGAAGTCGTATCTCACTGGAGCTTTGACTAGTATTTTCCTGATGGTTAATGAGGTGCAGCACCTTCTCGAGCGTTCCTGGATTTGTATGTTTTCCTTGGAGCATACTTTGCCCATTGTTTAATTGGGTTATTTGTCTTCTTTTCCTGCCTTCCAATCTGGCCTGCACAGGACGCTGACATGCTAACCGGTGATGAGCAAGTTTGGAAAGAAGTCCAAGAATCCCTGAAAGCAATTGAAGAGCTGAAGGCACATTGGAGTATCCTTTAACCTGCCGTTGAGTGGGCTGTTGAGCTTGCTTCTTTATTGCTTGTAACTTGGTGCTAATGTGACCAAGGGCAGGGCTTGACCTCTCCATAGGCTTCATTCTGTTCCATGGCCTCAGGCTGCATCTCTGAGCACAGCTCAGGATTTGGGTGATGGGTTGGGGGGTGAGTGCCTTACCCCCAGCAGATAACATAGCCCTGTGATAGTAGGAGAGTAAGTAGTATTTTCTTTATATGTAAATGACAGCACACTCCTAGATCCCTTCCTCCAATGACTGCTTTCACCTCTGAGGAAGAATAACTTAGAATCTTCATAACTTAATACCACTGACCCTCAGGCCCAGGGACTGCATAGCAGTTCGGCCATGACTACAGTAGCAGGGGACATGAGTGATAAGCCGTGCAAGTGGGCGCAGTTCTGAGCACAAGGAGACAAGCACATGATGGAGGCTGTCCAGGAAGGCCCACTGGTGCTTGACCATGTTGGAGGTGTCCTGAGTCAGGGACAAGATTTGGGTGGTCAGAGGCGAAGAGGGAGGCCACTCCCAGGAGAGGCTTACTTATGAGCAAAAATGTGACCAAGGCAAACTGTAGTCAAGAAAGAGACGTGAGAATTAAAAAAAGATTGCCAAAGTCCATCAGCTGTCTTGGGGTGATTATATACCAGGCACTAAGACAATCTGCAAAGGTTTTTAATCTACAGACAGTGCTTTTAAATAGTTGTGAAGGGCAGGAAAAGTGAGTGGATGGATATTCCGACTTTTAAGGGCGAAGTATAATTTAGAAATCTATAGCCCAGTGGGTTTGTTAGCAGTCTGACTAAAGAATCTAGACTTGGTTACTAAGAGGAACATAAAAAGAAAACTGTGACCACCAGGAGGTTGCACAGATTCACTAGAACAAGTACACATAAGAGTTGTGGGTTTCTTTGGTAAACTTTGTAGCTGAATGTCCTAAAGGGATTGAAAAAGATGAAGTCAAGAGATTTATATTAGAGCCTAGCAGAACCAGGCATCCTGCTAAATGGTCTGATATCTATAGTGAAAGAATAATGCTAGTTGAAGCATCGTCACTCTGGGCTGCTCTGTTCCCATCTCAGCCTCTTCAGCCTTGGATGTTCGCTACCTTGAGTGAAGACACAGAGCACAGGTTCACCGGTGCTACAGGTGTGTAAATGGGAAGGGTGACTGAGGATGGGCAATCGACTCAAGAGCCTTCCACCTGAAAGGCAGAAGGGCGACTGAGCTTTGAAAGGTCAAATGTGACCAGAGTGCACATAACACCTTCTGTTTGGGTCAGAAAGCTCAGGCCTATAAATATGCATGAGCTTAGCAGCAGAACACGCAAAAGAATTGTAGAGCCATGGTAAATAGCCAAATTGAGTGGAGTATAAGACTATGATGTAACTCTGCATGAGACAATTGTGATCTTGGACTGCATTCATAGAAACAGAGACTGCAAAAGGACATTGGGATATTCATAGCTGGAATTTTATATTTCAGCCAGGGGTGGGACATAGTAAGAGGGACGTAGAAAACTGAATGAGGAGTGGAACAGAGTTAAGGAGAAATTTGAAGTCTTACCGATCGATGGGTCAGAGACACTGGAAAAAACAGCCAACTCTGGGAACAGGAGGTCAAGTTAATAAGTTCAGAGGTCCATTACCCTGCAGAGGAGTGGACTTGCTCTCTGTGGTCTAACGAAACAGAATTAGGGTCCATGGATGACCAAGCTATAGTTCAGTCTTGACTGGGTAAGGTTTTACTGGAAAACTGACTCTGTGCCAGGTACCTAGCCAGTCCTAATCTACCTTATGAGTCAGAACTTAGAAGACACAGCCCTGCACTTACAGCTCTCATGCACAGTAGGCAGTAAATAGGCAAATTAATACATGCTGTGCTTTGGATGAGTGTCCCCAAGTGCTTGGTCCTCAGGGTAGCACTGTTGGGAGGTGTGGCAGGACCTTAAGAGGTCCAGTGGGAGGGCCTTAGATCATTGTGGGCATGTCCTCAAGGAACCCTGGTCTCTCAGTCACTCGCTGCTTCATGGCTTGAGATGTCAGCACTTGCTGTAACACATGTCCCCATCATTGCCATCTGGTGCCCTCACTAATGAGGCCACCTGATCTTGTCTCAAGAACCATGAGACAGAGTAAGCCTTTCTCTCTTTTACAAGTAGGCCATGTCAAGTATTTCTTTACAGAGGTGCAAAGCTGACTAATTCAGTACATACTTCACTGAAGAGATGTGTCTATAGAAGCATCAAAGGCACCTCTGTCAACTGTGAGAGGTCAAGGGGGTTTCACAAAAGAGGTGACAAGTTCTCTTGTCTGGGTGCCTTGTCCGGAAGGATGAACAGCAGTTCCCCAGGCCAATGATGAAGAGAGGGAAGAATTGTGTACAGAAGGCAGCATAGCACACTGTGGAAAGATGGACGGCTGGTCAGTATGGGAAGAGGGGTGCCTGGCCAGCCGTAAATGCCATGTGCAGATTAGAGTTTCTAGGTAACAGGCACCCAGACTGATGGTAAGCAGAAGAATGGAATTAGATGAGCAAGCTCTCCATGGTCTGATAGTCTTTGAGTATTAGGAAGTTGACTAATTCTGAAGTGAATCTGTACCCTTTTCTCTTTTCCCTAATCTTCTTATGACCATCTCAGTGTATTCAGAAAAAAAGTACCTGTCCTGCCCATGGCCCATCTGTTTTCTGTGGTGGGCTTTGTAGCCCTGCTTTGGTCCGGGGCTCAGCTCCTGATGAGAACAGAGTGACTTGTAGTCAACACTGCACAGGTGCCAGGGACTATTCTTTAAGCAAATATATGTCTGCATTAGCTTGGGGAAAAGCCTCTTAGCATTATTCCATCTCTTTGCTCACTGGGGTGTTTTATAGGAAGGTTTTGCCTGTTTGCCAGGAGACAGTTGCCAGTTTGTGGAAGGAGATTAGCACTGGTCCTTTCCAGCTTGTTGGGGAGACAGTAGATGTATCCCATGAGTGGCCACAGAGCACCATGTAAGACTTGGCACCTCAAACATCTGTCAAAAGAGTTGGAACACATAGATGCAAATAGGCAAATAACAGTGGAAGTCAAACAGCACAATGTTAAAATAAGGTGCATGTCTTGCCACAGAAATGTCTAGCATTGTGTAAGAGATAGTCATTTCTCCTGAGAGTTCATCAGGAATGAAATCCTGGAATGAAAAGCCACAGAGGTTAGCCCAGCAATCTGTTACAACACCAGTATATTGCCTAAGAAATCCCTTCCCCGGCCCCTGGGGAACACATTCAGCAAACTGTAAACATCCATGTCAGGAGAACACAAAGAAAAGCACTTACTCACTTTTCTTCAATAAGTGAGTCTCTTCTGGAACCAGAGGCAACTCAGAGCCAGGACTTGTCCTAAGATGCTGGGGTGCAACACAAAGGACCCTCAGCTGGGCTCTGAGGCCTTTGAAATTCCACCAATGAAGTTGTGCTTTGGGGTAAGGTGTTCTGCCTCAGCTAAGAGGAAAACGTATTTCCTGTGAGGGTTCGTGAAGATACTCTGCTCACACAAGTAGCTTGGTTGGTAGTAAAAGCATTCACTGATGTGTTGGAAAGCAGTTCCCTGAAGGTGTGAAGACAAGAAAGGAGGATTTACCAGAGAGCGGATAAGGAAGCCTGGCCTGCTTGAGCGAGGATGTCCACGAAGGCTTGAATTGAGCTGAGTTGGGTACAAAGCAGTGGAGCAGAGTATACTGGGATGTGAAATGTGAAGAGACTGGGCCCTACAGAAGTGGGGGGGGAGCTTTTCCTTCAATCTAGCTTAGGTCAGAGGTCATGGCAGGAAGGCACTCAAGTCTGTGTAGCTGTACTTTGTACATGCTACTAAATGTTTTTCCCCTGTGCTGATGACACTCACAACTCTGCCTGGCTCACAATAGAGCACAGAAAGAATATTTTCAGGGCTGCTGGAATGGCTCAAGTAGTAGAGTTTCTGTCTAGCAAGTCATGAGTTCAAACCCCAGTACTGCAAAAAAACAGTTTTCATTTTATAGTCAATGTTTTACCTTACAGTAACATGAGGCATTTTTATTTCTGGCTGATCTCAAAGCACTTTGACTTTGTCAGAACCTCAAATCTGACAAACAGCAGAGCTAGCTTACATTGAATCCAGGTTTATCCATCATCAAAGGCTGTGCCATTTCTGCTACAGCTGAAATCTCTGTCTCCCCCAACTGGAATTGCAACTTAGGAAAGCAGAAGAGTGTGGAGGGGTACTGGTGGAGGGTGAGGGTAAGGAGGAGTATGGGACAACCCCAATCCAGTGTCCCCTTGGCCTCCATAAGTAGAGCCTAGCAGCATGGCAGGTCCTACAAATTCATCTTAAACTGTGCTACCCAGGTAACTCACGTGGGAGGGATTCAAGCATAGTCTGTGCATCATGTCTTCAGCGTCCTGATGGCCTCAGTGAGACAAGAGGGATTTCCAGTATGAGGTTAAAAGCTGCATGTTGGTAATATACTCCTGGAGCGAGTTTTTTCTCGCTCCTGTTACTACCACCCTAACTGGCCTAACTGGGGGCAATAGGAGGTGCAGAAAGGACAAAACTGGGATCAGGGGCGTTGGGCACTCGAATGGAGATGCACAACAGCCTTGTTGCTTCTTTTACTTCTCTTTACTCTGCTTCTTTTCTCTTTCTTTATCCTTTAAGGCCTTGTTCCTAAAGTCATCTTTTCAATTCTTTAAAACCTCACTTCTAAAGTCTTCTTTTCTGTTCTTTAAAGTCTCTTTCCTTAGACTCTCTCTGTCCCATGTTTTCTCCTAGCTTTTCTTTAGCGTAATCTCTCTTAGAGTCTTTGCCCTAAGACTTGCACTGGCCCATGTTTTCTTTAATCTCTCTTAAAGTCTCGATGCTCAGACTTGCAGACAAACAACAGCAGCCACATCTAAAAACTGCATTAGCATAACTCTCAAAGTCTCCATCCTTAGACTTGCGCTGTGCCAGGTTCTCTTTAGCTTTTCTTTAGTGTAACTTTTCTAAAGCCTATGTATAAAGTTCTCAGTGCAGAAAGCTGCTCTGGTGGAGACACAGCAGCCAGCGACAGCATCAGCCAATCAAAATCCCCCGTCAAAAACCCCAAGTCCTCCTTCAGGGAGTCTTTTATATCCAGTGTAAACACAGAGGTGGAGCAGCAGTTCTCAGGTTGGGGCGTGACACTGTAACAGGAGAAGCCTGCATTCCTATTCTGTAAACGTAAACGACGTAGGAAAAGCGGTTGTGCTGCATCTTGCCTGGGCTTCTCATAACCTGCTCCCCACACATGCCTGTGGTCTCTGCTACCCAGGGTGCTGAGATCAGACAATCAGTGGAGCCCAGGAGCTTGAGACCAGTCTGGACAACACAGCGAGGTTGTACCTCTTACGGTGGAGGGGGTGGGGGCGGGGGCGGGGGCGGGGCAGAGGCGCACCAAGGCTCCGTGAGACTCCGAATTGACTTGTAGTTTACCAGAACATCAGTGTCGCTGAGAAGTAGGTGCAGGGACTTCCCGTTGTTTTGAGGCACCGTTTCCCCTTGCTCACATTTGTGCTCATCAGTCATGTTCTTAATCTCTTCTTTTGCTCTTGGGGGTTAAAATACGAATGCCTTCACTTGGGTGAGTATAGCCTGGGGTCACTTTTGCTTTATAATAAAAAATTTAATACAAGATTCAGAGGAAATTAATTTCTTCCAATCACTGCTCCTAGTGTGCGTTGCAAATTTGGATGGGCTTGGTTTCATGCATGCCCAAGATGCAGGTGACGCACAAGCTAAGGCTTCAGGTCAGTTTTTACACAGACACTAACAAAGTAAATCATTTCAAACTGAGCTAGATCTTTACTGCTAAAAGTTTCATAACTGACTTCGTTCATTGCATGACTTTGTTTAAGAAGAATGCATGTAGAAGTGTGAAGAAAGAATGGTTCTCTGGATATTTTAATCTCCCTTAGGCTTGGTGGGAAGATGATTTGTTGTTGTAAACAGAATTTTCTCCACAGAGCTGCCACTTAAACATGCCTTTGTTTCTCAAGTGCATTTCCAGGCAGCTCCTCTGTGCACACCACGGGTGCTGGGAGCTCTTCAGCTTCCTGGAGAATCTGTCTTACTTTGTTCTCTCTCCACGAAGACAATGAGTCCTTAACTAAGGTTAACAACAGAGTGGGAGCAGGTTCTGGCCATGTGCCAGACCATCATAAGCCGCAACGCTGAGCGGCTTCCCGATCTCAACGTGTACCAGCTGAAGGTGCTGGACTGTGCCATGGATGCCTGCATCCACCTGGGGCTGCTGGAAGAGGCGCTGTTCTACGGTATACGCACCATGGAGCCCTACCGGTGAGTGTGGAGATTCAGGGGCAAACCACCATGCTGGGAAGAATTCCGACTGCACCTTTAGGCTTCTCAGGGTGTAAAACCAGGCCTTGCTCTCTTCACTCCTTTGTTCACTTATGTATGCAGTTGCCAGCATTTGCAAAGCTCCTGTGCAGGCACTGTGGTGGCACAGAAAATAAACAGACACTGTTTTGGTGTGGAGCAGGTGGTTATGGTGTGGTATGGAGCAGGTGGTTATGGTGTGGTGTGGTGTGGTTCTTGCAGGGACCAGTGCAAGCATGGGGTGCTGAGTAACATGTGGCTCTGATCTAGCTCAGCACACTGTGTCCAGAGCTTCTATTGGTCCAGGTGAGGAAGGCCAGCATGCACCTGGGCTATGACTGGCAGTGGTGATGGTGCCTTCTATTTGTCAGGTGACATGGCTGCCACAGTGCTTTGTTAGACTGAAAACGCAAGGAGAGACAGGCAAGGAGATGGCTCAATGGCAGCATAGGTTTTATCTAGGAAACAGATCCTGAAGAGGTGGGTCTCTAACAGAAGCTAGAACCCACTGCTGCTTACAGACACGGGGAGGGGTAGATATAGAAGGTTGGTAGAAAAGCACCCGGAACAAGCTGGGCAGGCAAAATGTTTCTTTTTCTCTCTGTCTCGGTCTCTCTCTGTCTCTCTGTCTCTCTGTCTCTCTGTCTCTCTTTCTCTCTCTTTTATGGGTAGCTAAGGAATGCCATTGAACTAAGGAAGATAAGCTGTGGTTAGATTGCCCGATTGTTCCATTGTCCCTGGCATCCAAAGATAGCGGTTAACAGCTGTCCCTGGCCTCTTGGAGATAGAAGGCTGAAGACAGGTGCTTACCATCTAGGGTGGGGAGGGGAGGCTGGCTGAGATTTTTGTAAGCCAGTGTGAGTGATCAGAAATGGTGTCTGGTCCTAACAAGGCTATCCTTAGTTCCACCCTACCATTCCTGCCTTTTGAGATATATATATACTTTTTAGAAAGGGATGATGAAAATCGGGTAACTGCTACCTGCTGAACCAGGCCATTAGGGGTCTCTTAGGGGAGAGGGTATTGGCAGGGTCTTCTTGTCTCAGACAGCTTTCGTAGGCTCAGTGGAGGAACAGTATTGTATTGACCTGTTTTGGGGTTGTATCCTAGACAAAGGCATGGAGCCCCTGGGAAACAAAACAGGAAAACAATTTCAAAATACAAGGTCCTAAGGTTGGGAGAATGAAGAAAAAATAAGGGGTCCCAGTAGAGGGGTCATCCATGGCGTCCACTTAGCCCAAGCAGACCACTGAACCCAGCTGTCTGTCACTTGTTGGAGATCAGAGGCATATTCCTGGAGCTTTCAACAGCATCACGGACAGTCCCCGACTGGTTGACATAAAAACAGCATTCTTCCTATAAAAGAGGGATGTTCCCCGCTTTCTAGCAGTTAGGAGGTCACACCCTAACATACTTTCACCTGGCTTGCTGTTTAGCCACCCGTGACCCAGGCAGAGAACATAGGCTGCCCCACTCAGAGGATCATGGAGCCAGGGGAAGGAACTACTGGGGATTCATCCTTCCTTCCTCCTTCCTTCCCTCCCTCCTTCCTTCCCTTCCTTCCTGCCTTCCCTCTTTTCCTCCCTCCTTTCCTCCCTCCTTCCTTCCCTCCTTCCTTCCCTCCCTCCTTCCTTCCCTTCCTTCCTGCCCTCCCTCTTTTCCTCCCTCCTTCCCTCCCTCCTTCCTTCCCTCCCTCCTTCCCTCCCTCCTTCATTCCCTTCCTTCCTGCCCTCCCTCTTTTCCTCCCTCCTTCCCTCCCTCCTTCCTTCCCTCCCTCCTTCCCTCCCTCCTTCATTCCCTTCCTTCCTGCCTCCCTCTTTTCCTCCCTCCTTCCTCCCTCCTTCCTTCCCTTCCTTCCTGCCCTCCCTCTTTTCCTCCTTCCTTCCCTCCCTCCTTCCTTCCCTCCTTCCTTCCCTTCCTTCCTGCCTCCCTCTTTTCCTCCCTCCTTCCCTCCCTCCTTCCTTCCCTTCCTTCCTGCCCTCCCTCTTTTCCTCCCTCCTTCCCTTCCTCCTTCCTTCCCTTCCTTCCTGCCCTCCCTCTTTTCCTCCCTCCTTCCCTCCCTCCTTCATTCCCTTCCTTCCTGCCCTCCCTCTTTTCCTCCCTCCTTCCCTCCCTTTTTCTTATTTGCTTTTTTGAGACAAGGTCTTGCTGTGTGCCCAGGCTGTCTCCAAATCAGGATCTTCCTGCCTCAGCCTCCTGAGTACTGGGAGTATAGTTATGTATCACCACACCCAGTGGTGGTTCACTCTTTCTTCCTGGCCTCAGCTTTTCTAGGCTGGTGGGTGTTTTGCCCCTAAATGTTCTTGAAACTCAGAGGAGTTTTGAGAAGAGGGTGGTGTTGAAGTCAACTACTGACAGTGTGTCACTGTTGGGCATGGGACTCCAGTCTGCCATGGGTAAGAACATAGTTCTAAAAGTTGAGACCGAGCTCAGTCCAAGGAAAAGGGCACAGAGACATATGAGCTATAATCAATCTGAGGCTGGAATGTCCCTGTCTCCATCACAGAACAAGGTCACTGCTAAAACTGTACCTGGAAACCACTTGGGATGTAGAGGGGGCAGTCCCTGAAGCGGTGGCCGCCATTCTACAAAGAGTTGAGCTTCTCAGCACCCAGTCCATAGAAACACAGTATCAGCCCAAAAGGGCTAAGCAGAGGGAGTGTCCACATCCACACCTGTGCAGCCTGGGATGGCAGGCAGAGGCAGGCTGTTCCTGCCCAGGCTGTTCCTGTCCCCACTGGAGGAAGAGCCTAGGGAGATAGTGGGAGAAAAGGGGACCAGGATCTACACGACAAGGGCAGAGGCACATCAGGACCTAGCACATCAGTGAAAACACATGTATAGAGCAGAAATGAGACACGCAGTCAGGAGCCAGGCCTGGGCCAGGAGCTCGGTACAGGCAGAGGAGATAGCAGAGGCCCACAAGGCAGCCAGGGGCACCAGCGTGACCCTGAGGGCATTTTCAGACTGCCTTCTGTGGAATCCACAGCTTTGGAATCCAGACTGTGAGTCAGCTTTAGTCAAACTTTGCACAAGAGACTGCCTCAGGGCTGAGCAGAGATGTTGCCGTGTGCAGAGAAAGATCTTTTCAGCACGGTGGACCTTGGGGCTTCTCAGGAAGTATGAACTAAATAGAGATAAGGCTTTTCTCAGAGCCTTGGTGTTGCAATGAGAGGCAGATGGGGCTGGTTGCCATTTGCTCTTGAATGCTGTGCTTGCTGTCAGCAGGCCAGGCCACAGGCTGCTGGCTGGGTGAAGAGACCCCAGCCAGAGGCAGCTGACTTAGCAAACCCTCCTTCTTCCAGGGCCCTGGTACCACCAGCCCCACAGTCCTGGCGAGTCCACTGCCTATCCTCTGCTTCCTTTGACATCCTGCCAGTGCAGAGCACAGCCATTCAGCATTTACCGCTTAGTAAAGAAGGCCACACTGCTTTGAGGATTCCTGCTCTCCACAGTTTTGAGTCCTTTTTTCTCCACACCTGCCAAGGCTTCTGCCAAGCACTGATTTACCCCTCTGTTAACTGGTGGTGTGACTGACTCACTTTCTCAGAAGAGAGGCCAACATACAGCCTTTCATGTTGAAGAAACATTTGGTTACATTTTCATAGTGTTTACAGGCCACAGTCTCTGCAAATGTGCTCTGGGTTACAAATTTGAAGCCTCCCTTTGTTTCTCTTCCCTGGGCCTTGTTAAGGCTCTGTGGTGTGAGGCAGTGTCCCATTCAAATGAGTGACATGTGAGCCATTTACTATCAAGCCGTCCTGGAAGAAAAGACTAAGTAATCCAGAACCAACAAAGTTAAGACAGACCAGAGTGACAGGTGCCTTCAAACTCAGTTCAGGCAAAAGTGAACACAAGGACTGTGTGTAAATGAGCCAGGTGCCTGCAAGCCCTGACCAGTCTTAGGATGTGAGGCAGGAATGTGGAAGCCGTTCTCCAGTGTGCGTGAGGATTTCACACTGTGCTGTCAGCTGTCCACACGGTCACCCTGCAGCTGGTCTGGGTGGGCTTTTGCTCACCTTTAAACGCCAAGGACATGAACAGTTAACTCAGCCTGAATTATGAGAGGTGACTGGATCGCCACCTGCCATAACAGTTTTACAATGTTAATATACTGTTTTCGGTGCTTAGATTGAGGTCAAGTCTCTAGTGAGCATTTAGTCACTCCTGACCTTAGCTAAGATTTAACTGCTGACCTTAGAGGACAAAGTGTCCATTCCATTTTTATCCAGATCACTGCTGTCAGCTCTCTTCTTGCTGCTCTGTCATTTATCTTTTACTCAATAGATTTTACTCATTTTTTATGATGCAATTTGTTGCTAGATTCTTTATGTGTCATAAAGATGTTGGAGTGCTGACACGTAACACAAGGTCTAAACTTCACCTTTCCCTTATAGCGTGACTTCTGAAAATACCCGTGTGTGCGTACATGATCACATATGCATGTCCTCTGTCCTTTAGCGTTCTGCGCACTAAGTAAAATGGAAATAATTTAAAGGCATTTTGAAATTTTATTAAAAATTTAAGTCAGTGAAATCTTAACCACAAATGGACCAGGTCCCATAAGTTAGCTTGCCAATTGATTTCTGAGAAGTTGGAATGCGTTTTCATCTTACAGATGTGATTACAAGTATGTGAAATCCCCAGGCTAGCCCAGGAAAGTCTGCTCAACCCATGACATAACTAAGGTACACAATAAACTGAGATGGGATAGGGAGGGACGGAGGGAGGGAGGGAGAAAGAGAGAGAGAGAGAGAATTGAACATAATTTATTTTAAAATTAAGTAGCATATTGAGTACGAATTAAACTTGTTTTGTTCTGTAGGAACCATGGAGTGATAAGGAGGTAAAGGGACTTTTGGTACTTTTACCTGTGTTCTGTTAGTGTTTGTTGTGAGAATTTACACTTTTAGGGAAGAGTGTTTCCACAAAGTCTGTTAGCCAGCAGTCTATCACCATAA